ATATATATATATATATATGTCGTGCCGAATAGGCAGAACTTGCGATCTTGGTTTAAATAGCAACGCTCATCCTGCCATATAGGACAAGTGAAAATTTGTGTATGCAATAATTTCGCCAAAATCATTCTGAACCTAACGAAAAAAGTATATTTCACTGTGTTTGTTTAGTATTAAATTATTGTAAACAAATCTAAAATATATTTAGTTGGGTTAGGCTAAAATAAATTGCGCTTGTTATAATAAGGTTAGTTAAGTTTTCTAAGTTTCTATTGGTGCAAAATTAAAAAATTTTACATCAACATTAATGAAAAAAAATATATCTTTAAACGTACAAGAGTAAATTTTAGAAAGGACTTAATTTTAAATGAGTTCTTGCTAATTGACCAGTTTTACATATTATGCACGACATATATATATATAATATATATATATATATTATTATATAATATATATATATATATATATAAAATATATATATATAATATATATATATATATATATATATATATATAATATATATATATATATATATATATTATAATAATATATATATAATATATATATATATATATATATATATATATAATATATATTTTATTATATATACATGTATATATATATATATATATATTATATATATATATTATATATATATATATATATATATATATTATATATATATATATATATACATATACATATATATATATATAGGTCTTAGACAATGATGTGTAATGTCACCATGGTTGTTTAATATATTTATAGATGAGGTTGTAAAAGAAGTAAATGCTAGGGTGTTCTGGAGAGTGGTGGGATTAAATTGTGGGGAATTAAATACAAAATTGGAAGTGACACAGTTACATTTTGCTGATGATACTGTGCTTATGGGAGATTCTAAAGAAAAGTTGCAAAGGTTAGTGGACGAATTTGGGAGTGTGTAAAGGTAGAAAGTTGAAAGTGAACATAGAAAAGAGTAAGGTGATGAGAGTATCAAATGATTTAGATAAAGAAAAATTGGATATCTAATTGGGGAGGAGTATGGAAGAAGTGAATGTTTTCAGATATTTGGGAGTTGACGTGTCGGCGGATGGATTTATGAAGGATGAGGTTAATCACAGAAATGATGAAGGAAAAAAGGTAAGTGGTGCATTGAGGTATATGTGGAAGCAAAAAATGTTATCTATGGAGGCAAAGAAGGGAATGTATGAAAGTATAGTAGTACCAACACTCTTATATGGGAGTGAAGCTTGGGTGGTAAATGCTGCAGCGAGGAGGCGGTTGGAGGCGGTGGAAATGTCCTGTGTAAGGGCAATGTGTGGTGCAAATATTATGCAGAAAATTCGGAGTATGGAAATTAGTAGAAGGTGTGGAGTTAGTAAGAGTATTAGTCAGAGGGCTGAAGAGGGTTTGTTGAGGTGGTTTGGTCATTTAGAGAGAATGTATCAAAATAGATTGACATGGAGAGTGTAGAAATCTGTAGGGGAGGAAGGCGGGGTAGGGGTCGCCCTCGAAAAGGTTGGAGGGAAGGGGTAAAGGAGGTTTTGTGGGCGAGGGTTTTGGACTTCCAGCAAGCGTGCGTAAGTGTTAGATAGAAGTGAATGGAGACAAATGGTATTTGGGACCTGACGAGCTGTTGGAGTGTGAGCAGGGTAATATTTAGTGAGGGAATTCAGGGGAACCGGTTATTTTATATAACCGGACTTGAGCCCTGGAAATAGGAAGTACAATGCCTGCACTCTAAAGGAGGGGTTCGGGATATTGGCAGTTTGGAGGGATATACTGTGTATTTTTATAATATAATATATATATATATATATATATATAATAAAATAATAAATATATATATATATATAAATATATATATGTATATATATATATATATATATATATATATATAAAGATCACAGTCAGCAGATTCGAAACTACTACTTAGAATGGTCAAGATTCCCAGGCAGCGCTCTAGTCCACTCGGCCAACGCAAATGCCACATAGACTGGGCAGTCTGGTTCACAAGCCATGTTTCTTTCCAGCCCGGGCACGTCAGTTAGCCTCAAACATGGATTCAAGCTATTTTCAATCTCCTCCTGTATGTTTTGATCTCTCTTCTTTGTATATACCCGCTTATTTCTGCGTGGTGCATGGATATATAAATATATATATATATATATATATATATATATATATATATATATATATATATATATATATATATATATATATATAATGCAATAAGATCACAGTAAACAGGTGATTTCCGAATGCAAAACAACCACTCTGAAAGAATAGAGAAATTCCAAGCGCTTTCGTGACTACTCGCATTATCAAGGAACTATGAAAGTAAAGCATCCAAGGAAGCTATATAAGGGGTCTGGCCAGCACCTCACTTTCAGATCCCACAACGGTTAAACACCTGACGCGCGCCGACCCAACCTGGATAGGTCCTTTGCCAACTCACCCCACAAACTATTCTACCCAAGAAAATTTAAAAATTATTTGTCCAGTGTATTATTAAATTCTTCCCAAATTCTATTAATTATAAATGGATCTAATTTATATAAACCAAAGGAAATATTCATATTATTGTCAAAACTGCTTTTTATGAAACAAGATTCAATTATATTCCTGTCGACCATGGACTTGCTTGATACTATTTTCTCAACTTTTTGAAAATCAATTGGATGGTTAAAATCTCTTACATGAATAAATAGAGCATTGGAATCTTGTCCAGTTCTATGCTATATTTATGTTGTTTTAATCTTAGTTCGAGATTTTACCAGTTTGACCGTAATAAACTTTATCGCAAATTTTACAAGGAATCTTATAGACACATCCATCAGCATTTTGGGGAATTCTTTTCAAAGTTTTCTTACTGTATCAAGATTTTTGAATACAACTTTAATATTAAAAGTCTTAAGAAGAGAAGGCATATCAACCAAGTTTTCATGGGAAGGGAGAACCAACATATTTTTAGTTGAATAAGGCTGGTTGTCCCTTTTTGAATTGTAAAAAGTATTTCTAGCAACTTTAAAAGATTTATCAATTACAATTTCTTGGTATTTTAAATCATTACCTATTTCATAAATTTTGGATATTTCCTCATCTATGAACTCAGGACTACAAATTCGTAAAGCTCTCAAAAACATTGATGAGAAAACAGACAGTTTGACTCTATCTTGATGCGAGGAATAATAGTGGACATAGGAACAGTTATTTGTAGGTTTTCTGTAAATTTTAAATTTGAATTCATTATTACCCTTAATAATTAAAACATCTAGAAAAGATAATGAATTATTTTCTTCAAACTCAACGGTAAAGTTTATAGAATGGGCTAAGCTATTTAATTTTCCTAGGAAATGGTGTATATCTACATTTTTGGGCATAAGACACAAAATATCATCAACATATCAGAACCATTTAGCTCTATTAGGGAGGATTGTGTTAAGTAACCTTGTTTCAAAAAAATTCCATGTATAGTTTACTAAGAACAGGTGGAAGAGGATTTCCTATTGCCATACCAAACTTCTGACAAGATTCCAATGGTCTATTTATTCATGTAAGAGATTTTAACCATCCAACTGATTTTCAAAAAGTTGAGAAAATAGTATCAAGCAAGTCTATGGTCGACAGGAATACAATTGAACCTTGTTTCATAAAAAGCAGTTTTGACAATAATATGAATATTTCCTTTGGTTTATATAAATTAGATCCATTTATAATTAATAGAGTTTGGGAAGAATTTAATAATACACTGGACAAATAATTTTTAAATTTTCTTGGGTAGAATAGTTTGTGGGTGAGTTGTGCAAAGGACCTATCCAATTGGGTCGGCGCGCTTCAGGTGTTTAACCGTTGTGGATCTGATAGTGAGGTGCTGGCCAGACCCCTTATATAGCTTCCTTGGATCTTTACTTTCATATTTTCCTTGATAATGGAGTTGTCACGAAAGCGCTTGGAATTTCTTATTCTTTCAGTTGTGGTTGTTTTGCATATAATTATATATTAATATATAATATATAATATATTATATATATTATATATATAATATATATAATATATATATTATATATATTTGATATATATATAATATATATAATATATATATATATATATTATATAGATGATATTTTATATATATATATATATATATATATATATATATATATTATATATATATATATATATATAATATATATATATATATATATATATATATAATATTATAATTTATTAGACAAAAAATCATGTTTACAAAATACTCATCTCTGTAAATTATAAAATTCAGGTATCGTAAAAGGTGTACAATTGGGAAAATAGCAGAGTAGATCTTCTATACCCATCGTGAGATATGGGAGATAGGCTGTATCTCCAATACCCGTTAGGAGGAGAGGCTCTCAGAGTCTCAAAAATAAAATATAATTGGCAAATGTAATTTGCAATTTTATGGACGAAAACATCGAGGAAGAAGTAACTGGGACGCGTCGAGAGATCTCGGAGAGATAATCTCGGCAAAACATTAGAGAAATTACACCCGTAGAGATAAGAAGCAGCCATGTTTGGTAGGATGATGATACTGATCTCCTGCGGTATGATGAGGTGGGTTATCATACCTAGTATTACGGAAGGAGGGGTCTGGTTGGGCATGATGCCTAGTGGGGAAACTCTCTGATGGTATAATGAAAAAGGGGGAAAGGATATTCCTTGGTAACTCTGGGAGGGATATTAATCGGGTATTGGATTTACCGGAATATACCGAGATTTATGCGATCTAAGGGAGTTAGATATCCGTGGGGGCTACTGTCATGCTATCATGGGCCTGATCGAACTTACCTGAAATTGGGTGTTGGTTCTATTTGCGATCTATACTGGATCTGAGTTCAACTTGGAGTATATCTGAAATAAATTTCTGGGATCCATCTGAGATGAGGTTAAAATTCACTAGACGATCTACCGTCAATTTCGTCTAGCAATCAGTGCAGCGGGTGATCTGTTATGGAACTTACCTGGTAAGAGGACGTCGTTGGAGAGGTGCTGGCCGTTATGAAGGCCTAAGAGGAAGTAGTTCATGAGGAGCACTTGTACTGCCACCATCTTGGCGCTTGACTTCAGGGTCCAAGACCGAAACGTCGTCTGAAGCCTCTTCCTCCGAAATGTGGGTTAGTTGTGAGTTGTTCCGGTACTGTGTGACTTGTATTCCACCTGACATTGAATTATGCGCTCTTAAAACTTCACTTGATAATTAAAGCGACACTTCTAAGAGTCTAAATATTTTTTTTGTTTGGTCTGTGATTTTGTAGTTGTTATTTATCTGTGAGTATAATTCATCGTCTGAATGTTTGTGACAACCACCTGGCTGAATGTTTGTGACAACCACCTGGCTGAATGTTTGTAGCAGCCGTCTGGCTGAACGTTTTTAACAGCCGTCTGGCTGAACGTCTGCAACACCGTCCTGGCTGAACCCTTCCACCAACAGTTCAGCTGAACGCACTTCCGAAAAGCGTTACAATGTCAGTATTCCCTCAGGATTTATGGCTCTATGGCTCTACACAGCTAAAGCAAAAGGAACGTAAATAAAGCAAAATCCACTCTATATTTTTTCCCACAACATTTGTTGTAGTTCCATATTAATTTCGTCTTTAATTATCTCAGCATTCGGATTTTCAGGTGCATAACTGGTCTGTTTTTTGCAAATCACTGATTACGTGAATCACTCATCTCAGGTTTAGTATAAAATGCAGTATTTTATCAGTGATATTAGAGAATTAGATATTTTTTACGGATCTTCTGTTTTTTCACGCATCACGTCTTGAGAATTTATATTAATAATTAAGAATTTTCACTTAATAACGTTTAATAACGTTTTCACTCGTAGATATTTTTCTAGCATAATTTTCTTACATAATGAAAAATCAATAATTTTTGACTTATGACACTGCATCCTAAATATTACATATTTGTGTCCAGAAATATCTTTTGTCACGATAACCAATAAATACTCTTAAGTGTTATTCGTTTTACTTTGAACGGTAACCGTTTCTTGAGCACGATAACCACGATAGTCCAGCTTTCCTCCCTGAATCACTCACCCGGAAGGCTTTTGCATCGTAGCGACTATTGCAAATCCTCTGACACCCTCCGTCAGCACCGGGGTCTCTGCCTTGACCATATATATTAAAGCCAACTCTCGGTAAGGTCTGTTGTTTGTCCTGCCGACCAGACGCTGCGTTACCTCCTCAATCCATCAACATGGCCAACCCTGTCCACTACTGATTACTATCTCTGATCGGCCCCGTCTTTTTCCCTCTCTCTCTCTCTCTCTCTCTCTCTCTCTCTCTCTCTCTCTCTCTCTCTCTCTCTCTCTCTCTCTCTCTCCCTCTGTCACTCTCTCGCTTCCTCTTATATTTCAGTTGCTCTTTACTTTCCCTTTTGATGAGTGGATAAGAAAAATGACTTTTACTAGAAAGGAGATAAGGGAAAGAGAAAAGTTAGAGAGGGGAGAGAGAGGAAGAGACACTTATGAGAGGGTGAGTGCAAGGGCCACACTGGAGAAGGCACAGGTGAGCCTTCATGAGAGGGGCTTCCGAGAGAGGTCCGACTCAGCAGTTCCTCCGCGAGAGAGATGACTGAGAGAGCTTCCTGCGAGGGATGCTGTAATGGAGAGGAAACGCGAGGAAGAGCGGTGGAGGAGAGGGCGGAGGTGTCGTGGAATGGAGGGTCGTGGAGGGTCGTGCAGGGTCGTGGAGGGTCGTGGAGGGTCGTGGAGGGTCGTGGAGGGTCGTGGAGGGTCGTGGAGGGTCGTGGAGGGTCGTCGAGTGCCCTTCAGCTCCCCGTCAGAGCACCGTCAGCTGCAACAAAAAGAAACGAAATTAGACGTTTTATAAAACTTTTCAATTCCCTCTAATGTCGTCTACAAGAACCAAGTTGTGTGTGGTGTGTGTGTGTGTGTGTGTGTGTGTGGTGTGTGTGTGTGTGTGTGTGTGTGTGTGTGTGTGTGTGATGTGTGTGTGGTGGTGTGATGTGTGTGTGTGTGTGTGTGTGTGTGTGTTGTGACTGGATAGACGCAGTGACGGGAGATTTTGATGCCCGGGTAAGTAATGATCACCTAATTCACTGTGATCACGGTAATATATGACGATTGTAGTATTGGTCGTTGTAGTGAATGTTAGCAATAGTAGTGGTAGTGCTGGTAGTAGAAGTGCTGGTAGTATTAGTAGTGCTGGTAGTAGTAGTAGTGCTGGTAGTAGTAGTAGTGTTGGTAGTAGTCATAGTGCTGGTAGTAGTAGAAGTAGGGCTGGTAGTAGTCATAGTGCTAATAGTAGTAGCAGTGCAGGTAGTAGTATTAATGCTGGTAATAGTAACAGTGTTGGTAGTAGTGCTGTTAGTAGCGATAGTGCTGGTAGTAATGGTTGTGCTGGAAGTAGTGCTGGTAGTAATGGTTGTGCTGGAAGCAGTGCTGGTAGTAGTGCTGGTAGTAGTGATGGTAGTAGTGATAATGTTGGTAGTAGTAGTAGTAGTGGAAGTGGTGGTAGTAGTTGTGGTATTACAGGTAGTGCTGGAAATAGTGCTGGTAGTAGTGTTAGTAGTAGTAGTAGTGCTGGAAGTAGTGGTGGTAGTAGTGGAAGTGGTGGTAGGAGTTGTTGTAGTAGTGGTAGTGCTGGTAGTAGAGCTGGTAGTAGTAGTAGTGCTGGTAGTAGTTGTGGTGTTAGTAGTAGTGCTGGTAGCAGTGGTAGTGCTGGTAGTAGTGGTAGTGCTGGTAGTAGTACTGGTAGTAGTGGTAGTGCTGGTAGTAGTACTGGTAGTAGTGGTAGTGATGGTAGTAGTACTGTTAGTAGTGGTAGTGCTGGTAGTAGTACTGGTAGTAGTGGTATTGCTGGTAGTAGTACTGGTAGTAGTGGTAGTGCTGGTAGTAGTGGCAGTGCTGGTAGTAGTGGTAGTGCTAGTAGTAGTGGTGGTAGTGCTGGTAGTGGTACTGGTAGAAGTGGTAGTGCTGGGTAGTAGTGCTGGTACTAGTATTGGTAGTAGTAGTAGTGCAGGTGCTAGTAGTGGTAGTGCTGATAGTAGTGCTGGTAGTTGTGGTAGTGCTGGTAGTAGTGGAAGTGCTGGTAGTAGTACTGATAGTAGTGGTAGTGCTGGTACTAGTAATGGTAGTAGTGGTAGTGCTAGTAGTAGTGGTAGTGCTGGTAGTAGTGGTAATACTGGTAGTAGTGGTTGTGCTGGTAGTAGTGGTAGTGCTAGTAATAGTGGTAGTGCTAGTAGTAGTGGTAGTGCCGGTAATAGTGCTGGTAGTAGTGGTAGTGCTGGTAGTAGTCGTAGTGCTGGAAGTAGTACTGATAGTAGTGGTAATGCTGGTAGTAGTGGTAGTGCTGGTAGTAGTGATAGTGCTGGTAGTAGTGATAGTGCTGGTAGTAGTGGTAGTGCTGGTAGTAGTCGTAGTGCTAGTAGTAGTACTGGTAGTAGTGGTAGTGCTGGTAGTAGTGGTAATGCTGGTAGTAGTGGTAGTGCTGGTAGTAGTGATAGTGCTGGTAGTAGTTGTAGTGCTGGTAGTATGGTAGTGCTGGTAGTAGTGATAGTGCTGGTAGTAGTGGTAGTGCTGGTAGTAGTGGTAGTGCTGGTAGTAGTGATAGTGCTGGTAGTAGTGGTAGTGCTGGTAGTAGTGGTAGTGCTGGTAGTAGTGGTAGTGCTGTTAGTAGTGATAGTGCTGGTAGTAGTGGTAGTGCTGGTAGTAGTAGTAGTGCTGGTAGCAGTGATAGTGCTGGTAGTAGTGGTAGTGCTGGTAGTAGTGGTAGTGCTGGTAGTAGTGATAGTGCTGGTAGTAGTGGAAGTGCTGGTAGTAGTGGTAGTGCTGGTAGTAGTGGTAGTGCTGGTAGTAGTGATATTGCTGGTAGTAGTGGTAGTGACTGGTAGTAGTGGTAGTGCTGGTAGTAGTGGTAGTGCTGGTAGTAGTGGTAGTGCTGGTAGTAGTGATAATGGTGGTTGTAGTGATAGTTGTCGTAGTAGTGATGGTGGTGGTAGTAGTGCTAGTAGTAGTAGCAGTGCTGGTAGTAATGCTAGTGCTAGTAGTAGTGGTAGTGCTAGTAGTAGTGGTAGTGCTGTTAGTAGTGGTTGTGCTGGTAGTAGTGGTAGTGCAGGTAGTAGTGGTAGTGCTGATAGTAGTAGTGGTAGTGCTGGTAGAAGTGCTGGTAGAAGTAGTGCTGGTAGTAGTGTTAGTGCTAGTAGTAGTGGTAGTGCTGATAGTAGTAGTAGTAGTGCTGGTAGTAGTGGTAGTACTGTTAATAGTGGTAGTGCTGGTAGTAGTAGTAGTGCTTGTAGTAGTGGCAGTACTGGTAGTAGTGGTAGTGCTGGTAGTAGCGGTAGTGCTGGTAGTAGTACAAGAACTTGATTTGTAGAAATTAACCGCTTAAGAAAATAAAAAAAATTCTACGAATGACTACAATATTTAACAATAAAAGAAATATTTTTGCATCTGTAAACTGGATGGACCCTTGAGTACAAGACTTTGCCCTTGAGTACAAGGATCCTCCCTTGAGTACAAGAATCTGCCCTTGAGTACAAGGATCCTCCCTTGAGTACAAGAATCTGCCGTTGAGTACAAGGATCCTCCCTTGATTACAAGAATCTGCCCTTGAGTACAAGGATCCACCCTTGAGTAGCCTGGTTCTACAAGCTGCCCCTGGAGTTCAACCCCAACAAGAGCAAAAGTCACTCAAGTAAAAGGATCTTGGGGTGAGCATCATACCGAGCACATCTCCTGAGGAGCATATCAACCAAATAGCTGCTGCAGCATATGGGTGACTGGCAAACCTGAGAATAGCGTTTCGACATGTAAGTAAGAAGTCATTCACTACATTGTACACCGTCTACGTCAGACCCATATTGGAGTATACAGCACCAGTATGGAAAGCACACCTGTCAAACAGAGAAAATACAAAGGTTTGCAACAAGACTAGTCGCGGAGCCGAGGGATAAATCCTACATGAAGAGCTTGGAGGAACTCATCCTGACAACACTGGAGGACAGGAAGGAGAGGGGGAACATGAGGAATTGATAAGGTGGACAGCGACAGAATGTTTCAGAGATTGGACACAGCAACAAGGGGTAACACCAGGAAGTTGAAAACTCAGATGAATCACAATAACAGACGCAATCTTCCCACCAGGATGTCAGATCCTAAGGGAAGATAGGAGCAGAGGGGGAGGAAAGGTTGCACTGCTTGTAAAAAACCAATGGAAATTTGACGAAATAGAAGGCATGGACGAGATTGGAGGATTGGAGTATGGGGAACAGAAGGTAGTCATTGCAGCGATGTATAATTCACCACAGAACTGCAGGAAGCCAAGAGAGGAGAGCAACAGTGCAATGGTGGACACACTGGCTGAGGTGGCAAGAAGAGCTCACTCAAGCAGAGCAAAGTTACTGGTTATGGGTGATTTCAACCTCAGGGAGATCGATTGGGAAAACCTGGAGCCACGAAGGAGTCCTGAAACATGGAGAGCCAAGATGATGGATGTGGTACTGGAAAACCTCATGCATCAACATGTTACGGACACTAAAAGAGAGAGAGGGGAGGATGAACCAGCAAGACTGGACCTCATGTTCACCCTGAGCAGTTCAGACATTGAGGACATCACAAATGAGAGGCCCCTTTGAGCTAGTGATCACATGGTTCTGTGTTTTGAATACACAGTAGAGTTACAAGAGGAGAGGGTAACAGGAGCTAAATGGGAAAAGCCAAACTATAAAGGGGGACTACACAAGTATGAGGAACTTCCTGCAGGAGGTTCAGTGGGACAGAGAATTGGTAGGAAAGTCAGTAAATGAAATGATGGAATACGCAACAACAAAATGCAAGGAGGCAGAGGAAAGGTTTGTTCCCAAGGGCAACAGAAATAATACCAAGACCAGAACGAGCCCCTGGTTTACCTGAAGGTGTAAGGAGGCAAAAACTAAGTGCGCTGGAATAGAAAAAGTACAGAAGGCACAGAACCCAGGAAAATAAGGAGATTAGTCAACGAGCCAGAAATGAGTATGCACAGATTAGGAGGTAGGCCCAGCGACGGTACAAAAAACAACATAGCATCGAAAGTTAAGTCAGACCCGAAACTGCTGTATAGCCACATTAGGAGGGAGACAACAGTCAAAGACCAGGTGATAAGGCTGAGGATAGAAGGTGGAGAACTCACATGAAACGATCAAGAGGTGAGGAGCTCAACACGAGATTTAAGGAAGTATTTACAGTAGAGATTGGAAGGACACTGGGAAGACAGGACAGAGGGGAACACCAACAGGGAATATACCAAAAAGTGTTGGATGACATACACACAGCTGCAGAAGCTGCTAAGTGACCTTGATACCTCAAAGGCGATGGGACCGGACATCTCCCCGTGGGTCCATAGAGAAGGAGCAGAGACGCTGTGTGTACCACTAACCACAATCTTCCACACATCCCTTGAATCTGGGCAACTACCTGAAGTATGGAAGACGGCAAATGTAGTCCCCATTTTTAAGAAAGGAGACAGAAACGAGACACTGAACTATAGACCAATGTCACTGACGTGTATAGTATGCAAAGTCATGGAGAAGATTTTCAGGAGGAGAGTGGTGGAGCACCTGGAACGAAATAAGATTATAAGCGTCAACCAGCACGGATTCATGGAAGGCAAATCCTGTGTCACAAACCTTCAGGAGTTTTCTGACAAAGTAACAGAAGCAAAACACGAGAGAGAGGGGTAGGTTGATTGCATTTTCCAGGACTGCAGGAAAACCTTCGACACAGTTCTCACAAGAGATAAGTGCAGAAGCTGGAGTATCAGGCGCGTGTAACAGGAAGGGCACCGCAATGG